CAAAAAAAAAAAAAAAAAAAGAAAACTGATGCTGGAACATACTTCACTTGATAAACCTCCCTAGAACACAGGCCATAAACTGAGAAAGGCAAACACAAGGCCAAGAGAAAGGAAAGACATGGAGAATAGCAAAGGACACTTAATTCACACATTATGGATTTCCCTGAGAAATCATAGTTGATATCCTAGTAAAACATTTGAAAATCAAAAGTAAAGAAAAAACCCATAAGTGTTCAAGAAAATGGTTCCTTTTTATTCCTAAAAAGAATAAAAAGAAGGCTGCTTTCAGGTTTCTCCTCCACAATATTAAACGATGGGCTTTTGAGGAGAAAATGTTGTATCCCAGCTTGCTGGATACATTTAAAGCAACAAGAGGATATCTTCAGATATTTTCAAAAAGTATTATATCCATGTACTCCAAATATTAGGACATTTTCTAGCTAATTAGAAGATACACCCAAATAGATAACTCAAAATTGCAGTCAAGATTTGAACTGAAATTATGTACCATCACCAAAATTATAACCTCTTTGGTTATAATTTATATTCACATCCAGTAATTAGTCCATGCTTTCCTTCTCCTTCCTGCCATACCTTTCCCTCTACAATCTTTCCTCTTCTTTTTCTGGGCCATAAATTCCACATAAACAAACACCCCTCCATCCTCAAATCCCCCATTTTATGTCTTTACACACACCCTATTCTTTCCACAGAGTGCTCCCTTCTCTGCAGCTTCCAGGAATGCTGGGTGTTCTCACCCCGTGTCTCTCCCACCACAGCCTTAGACGCAGGGCTGGGATCTCCAGGTGCAGTGAAGCCTCTATGATAGGAAGCCTCAACGGGAAAGTGAAAAGTGAAAGTGCCTCGTCTCTTATGGGAAATGCCACCTAGCTTCATCGTCACCATCTTTCTGCCTCTGATGACTCCTGCAGCTCACTTAAAGACACTGGCGCAGTCTCCCTTTTCCTTTCAACAACCTGGAGGAAACTCTGGTGACCTCTTTATCCTTAGACACACCATTAAGTCTCATGCTTCCTTGACCCTCTCAACTCTGAAGAGCTTCACTTCCCTGATATTTCAGATACTCCCAAACCAAGGCCACCCACAGGATCTTCTCATCAGCCGGAATCACTTCCCTCAAACATCTTTATCTCAAATATCACAACCTCTCAGCACAGCTTGCATCCTTCTGTATCTCTCATATTTTCACTGCACTGACCTCCTGAAGATTCTTAGCTCTCTGAGTGGTGTTCCATGTCAGGTCTTCCTGCACTTGCTCACTGTCTCTTGTACCAGACCTTGTGCTTGACCAACTGCACAGCTCGTCCATAAATGTCCTCAACCACCATTCTCAATCATCCCTCCAACTGCTTTCCCTGCTCCCCATCCAGTACTTCTGAGTACTGCTGGAGAAAAACCACACTCTTGCTGGTGGTTTTCATGATTAATTAATAATAATTAATTCACGTCTTCAGTTAGGTTCTAGAACTACTTTTCTTCTGCCAACTCTTTTTTCCTTCCCCTTGGTGACTTTTCATAATTGGTGTAACTCACTTTAATCCAATCCCCAACTCTCTTGTTTGCCACAAACAACCTCACCTCCTAATAAACAGATAAAATTGAGGGCATTCGGTATAATCTGACACTTGCCTTTTCCCAGTCTGTCCCATACTCCGTCTATTAATGTGACCACATTTTCCTCCCTTTTTTCACTCCCATGGTTTTCATGATTATTTGTATGATACAGACTACTGCACCTGGGACTCCCACCTTGACACACCCACAGAACTTTATACTCACATCCAACTGCCTGCTGAAATTATCTAAGATGCCCCACAAGAAACTCAAATTCATCAACAAGAACTAAACTTACATTTTTCTTCATAAGTTTAGTCCTATGTTTCCATCTTGCTTTATTAAATAAGCATTTATGTCATTACCTGATCAGTAAACTGGGAGTTATAATCTCCCCTCCCTTAACCCTCTCCAAGCAATCAATGAGCCATGAAGTGCTTGAGCTAGTCAGAATTCTAAGATGACCCCATGGCCTCTGTCCCCTAGTGTTAGGCCCTATATTAACCCCCTCCCTGTAAGTGCAGACAGGGCCTTTGACTTGCTTCAAATCAATATAATATGACAAAGGTGATGAGATGTCAATGTCATGACTACATTTTATTATATAAGACTCCATCTTAGCAGAATAAAAGAAATCCCTTGTGGGTTCTAAAGAACTAAGCTGCCATGATGGGAGAGAGCCATGTGGCAAGGAGCTCTGGGTTGCATCAAGAGCTGAGAGTAGCCCCTGGCTGAAAGCCAGCAAGACCATGGGGACCTCAGTCATACAGCTGCAAGAAATAAATTCTTCCAACCACCCAAATGAGCTTGGAAGTGAATTCTGCCTTAGTCCAACCTCCAGATGAGAGCATAACCCAGCCAACACATTGATTTGCAGCTTTGTGAGGTAGAACAGAGGACCCACCTAAGCCATGCACAGATGTCTGACACAGGAAACTGTAAGATATTAAATGCGTGCTGATTACAGCTGCAGAGTCTAATACATTATCATGTATCCAGATACTATGATTCATAAAATATGGGCCATATGAGTTTCACTGGGTTTACAGATCCTCATCTGACCTGCCTTCATGTGGTAGGTACCATATTAGCACTTACAAGCCGAAGTTTGTGCCTATCTATGCTCCCTACTTAGAACCTAATCCTGAGAAAGTGAGGCCAAGAAAAAACAAAAGATCCCTCTTTCGTATGCCAAAAGCTCATCTTCTCTTCTCCTGCATGTTGCAGATAACTTCTGTATGGACAAATGACACCAGAAATGTGCACATTCTTCAGGAATTTTTGATTCTCTATCACTTTAGTAGCCTTGAGATATGGTCTCAAGAAGGCACCAATATGAAAATAGAGCCAAAGAAGACAAAAATCCTTTCATGGGATCCCACAGAGCATGAAGAGGAGGACAGCAGTGATGGTGTCATCCCCGGAAAAGTATTTGGAGTTGAGTCAGTGAGATTCCCATGAGAATCAGGCAAGGAGTTGGCTGCCCAAGCAATAGGCACAAGTGGATTTGGGCATGAAAGTAAATGCCAAACCAATAGACTAGTCTGTAAAAAAAAAAAAGTTGGACACAAGTTTTACAATCAAAGATCAAAGTCTACCCAACTATTTCACCAGTATTTATGGGGAGATGAGGCTATTGAAGACTTAAAAGGCTGGTTCTCCAAGTCCAGGGTAAATGAATCTTCCTAAAGTTAAACTTACTATGCAGGACAAAATTGGGGCTGAGAGAAATAGAAAATAATCATTAATTTGGGCAATGAAAAAAGTAATTTTGTAGAAATCTACTATTTACCTCTCTTTACAGATGAGCTATACACATTTAATTCAAATTCTGTATAAAAAGAAAATAAATAAGTTTATAAAAATTAGTTTAAATTCATACAGAATGAATTTTTATGCAAATTGGAATCTTATTTCTATTAAAATGGAATACACCAGTTCTCATATTTTGAAGCATAATACATAATCAAATTCAAGAATATTTTATGACAAAGTTTAGCATCTGGGTAAAGTTACAGATGAACACATGAAACATCAGGATAACTATCCATCTAGATTTATTTTATTATAATTTTTAGATTAAATGTATCCAAAATCAACTGCAAAATATATTTTTTCATTTACCTATTGTTTCACTTTCTGCCCACAGAGCTGCAGATCCAGACAATGTTCTTTGAAGTTGTCCCTGGTTTCCTTGTTTAGATTGGAGATGGTCAATGAGAAATGGGATTGGCTGGTCAGGTGTCTCAGTTATTAACTTGGTCATCAATTCCTGAAAGCAGAATAGAGCACATATTTACATTTGATAATAACAGTAACAATAATAGGAAACATTAACTTAGCATTTACTACTGCCAAGCACTGCTCTAAGCGCTTTATGTACAGCAACTAATTTAATCCTCGTAACAATCTTTTCAGGCAGGTACAAGTTACTGTCCTCATTTTGAGGAAACTGATGAGCAAAGAAGTAAATTGTGTTACACAGCTAATATATGGAAAAACCAAGAGATATTTATTTATATTTATTTTTATTATTATATGTAAGCCAAAAACATATTAGAATTTTTTTTATTTATTGAATCATAATTGCTTGTATGTATCTGTGGGGCACAGCATTGAATATGTGTCTGCAATATGTGATGCTCAAATCAGGATAATTAGTATATTCAACATTATACAGTGCAATCATTTTTTGTGGCCCTTTACAAATTTCTCACTAAAATTCTTCTTTAAAATTATAATCTAAGAATTTTAAATTTCATGTTACTGTTTTGAGAAATGCCATTATCAACTAAACTTCTGTTAAACTTCATCATGTACCTTATATACACCAATGTCATTTTTCCTTATTAATCATATATAAATATCCCAAAGTGAAAAAAATTTTGTTGGAATGAAAGAAATAGGTAACAAGTCACAGACTCAAAGAAACCAAAAAGTGTCTTAAAACTAGTCTCCAAACAATCCCTGATGAGTTTCATTCATTCTTTCTTTCTTTATTTTTTAATGAATTAAGTAATGGTGAGTTCTATACCTGCAAAGCAGCCTGTTCCATTTTGAACAACTCTAATGATAGCTTAAATTGGGCCGAAATATGCCTCAGGATAATATCTACACTTTGCTTTTTCCAGTTAGGAACAGCAAAGAGCAATTTCTAATTTGTGGTCAATTAGAATCCTCATATTGTTTGAATGTGAACAGCTGTCAAGCCACGTGGGTATCGTTTCGTGCTGTGCAATTGGGTTTGTGAACTTACATGCACCATTTGACATTCATATCAGTCACATTTCATCTTGCTGGTTCTAGCCCAGGATTCTAGTCTGTCGCTTGTCATTTTAAACTCAGATTCTGTGAGAGGTGATGGTTCTGATTAGGACAGATTTTAGGAGTGCTAACGGAAAGGTTACTGGAAATTCCCCAGCCCATCTTTTTTGTTGATGGTGGCCTATTTCCTCTGCATTGAATGCTCTTCTTTCAGGCGTTCAGATGGCTGGGCTGTCATCATTCAGTTTTGAATGACCTTCTCAGAGAGGCTTACCCTAACCAATCTTTGTAAGTCTTTATCACTTTTTAATTTTGTTTTATCACTCTCCAGAATCATTTTAATATTTGCTCACCTGTTTGCTGTCTGTCTCTCCTCCTTCCCTTGCTGCAGCACTAGGAGCAAGGACTTACTGAGTTTGACCTCTAATTTCCTCTCAAGGACCTAGAATTCTACCTAGCTATAGCTGGTATTAAATAAATATCTGTTGAATGAATGAATGAATGAATGAATGAATGAATGAATGAATGAATGCTTGGTTTACTGACCACAAGTAGATATTAGTAATCAAGGTCCCTTATTGTACCTATAAACAATTAAAGCATTGATAGGTTTTTTTTAGCCCAGCAAAATATAATCTTCTGACCTCCTATACAAGAAACTGCTGTCATGGGCCGGCCTGGTGGCGCACTGGAGAGTGCGCCGCTTGGGAGTGCAGTGGCGCTCCCGCT